TGTGACCAAAATCCGACCATCCAGCATTGTGGCAACTCTCGAGAGTCCTTCATATTGAATATTAGTATTTGTCTTTCCAGTCAAAGTTCCTTCCAATGTAAACCGTTGAATGCGACTATTCCCTGTATTACATAAGAAAATGTTGTTATTTTTGTCAACACATAAGCCAAACGGCCGATTCATCTGTCCATCACCGTTTCCTTTTTCTCCAAACTTGTACAAAAACTGTCCTTTCCCATCAAACACTTTCACACAGTTATTATTCTTGTCAGTTACAATGAACTTTTCCTCGTAACAAACGCAGCTGACTGGATGATCCAGCCTTTCTGGGCCGCTGTCTCCAAACTTAAACACAGGTTCACCATCCATTGTAAACACCTGAATTCTGCTGTTATTAAAATCCACTACAACGATAAAACGTCCATCACTTGTAATACAAACACTTGCAGGATTCTTAAACTCTCCATCTCCACTTCCCTCTTTTCCAAAGCTTTTCACAAAGTTCCCGGTCTGTACATTCAACTGCTGTAATCGGTGATTACCTTTATCAGCCACCAGAATCTCGTCATTGTTTAGGAACGTGACGTCGTCTGGTTTGTTTAATTGTCCATCCTTGTCTCCATAAGAACCAATTTTTCGCACAAACTTTCCTGTCTCATCAAATACCAGGATACAGTGACCTACATGATCAACCACAGCAATAACACCTTTGCTGTTCACTGCAATGCCAGCAGGACCTTGTAGCATTTCTCCCTGAACGTCCAACTTGCCTACAACATTTAACTCTCGTGCTTTGACCGGAATAGAATATGGACTCTTGGCAAGTTTCTGTCCATTTATCTTTACTTCTATTTTATAAGTACCTGGTACTTTCGCTACAAATTTTGCTTGGAAATTTCCATCTTCTTTTTCACTCGTCACCAAACTCCTCACCTGATCCGCAGGGTCCATGTGTATTTCAACACGATCTGTGTGCTGAGTGTTTCTGATTTCTCCTTCGCTTGGTTTGAGACAAATTAGTAGCTCTGCCTCCACACCAGCTTGATAATTCTGATCCAGTCCTTCCACGGTCGATCCTTGCACATCTGTTTTGCTGAATTTCGTAAATCCCAGACTCAAACTCTCTGGTTCACATGTCGTCACAAATTCTACAAACGAGCTAACCGGAAGTGCTGGCATTGGGGTCTTGATGAGGTCTTCGATTCGTTCTTCCACATTTTTCTTGTTTTGCATTATGTCTGAACTTGAGCTTCTTTCAACCAGGTTGTTACTGAACTCAAATGCTTGGTCAAGTTGCTTTTCGAAAGAGACAACCGATGCTTTTCCAGAATGTAATTTCTCAATCCTTGACACGCGAGTCTTCTCTAGGGCAGTAATGGCTTCACGTTCTAGTTGGCGAAGCTTTCCCATCATCTGTTCGGTTGCTTGGGAAACTTGGCGTTTAGCTGTGGTAATGTTCGTTTCCAACTCATGTTCCGTTTTCTCAAATTCACGAATAACGCCTCGGCAGACCTCCTTCATCTCTTTGACCAGCTTTGCTCTGGCAATGATGTTTGCTTTTTCATCGTCCGCTGCCTTTTCAAGCGGAACAACATCGTGGCTCTTGTGATCAGTGGCGATGCAAAACTGACACACGCAGCTTTGACAGCCCACACAGAAAAACTTTGTCACTTCTTTCTCGTGATACTTAACGGAGCAAAACGACTGCCGTTTCAACAACGCCTCGTAGTCTGTGGCTTGAAACTGTCGCACTGGTGTGACTTTGTGTCCTTGAAACAAAGTTTCTCGAAACACTTCGTGTGCTTTCACACAGTCTGGGCACATAAACTTCTCGCAATCAAAGCAGTAGTTGATCTCAGCGCTCTTCTTCTGGCATGTACTACAGCTGATTTCATTTCCCTCGCCGCTGCGTCGAACGGCGAGAAGACTCAACAAACTGTTGTGCAGAAAACTGCTTGGCAGATTATCAAAACGCTTTCCTTCAGGGATGCGGATTTGTGCCTGACACTCGGGGCATGGATAAAACCCTTGTTTTTGTCTCGTTAGTGCATGTCTCTCCAAGCATTCACAGCAGAACGTATGAAGACAAGCAATGGTCTTTGGTTTAGTGTAAGTATCCAAACAAATCGAACATGTTACATGCTCTTTGAGGTTTTTTAGAAGCGACTCCATCACGAATTGTTGAGAAAAACACAGCCCTGTTTTGTTTGAGATTCCGAGAAACTGAACTTGGATTAGCATTCTATTTAAAGCAGCGAATCAGATCTCTGTAGGATCGCGTGATCTTCGCGCAGAGATTGACAGTTTTACATTGCAATTTTATCCACCTATTGTGTACTTTCTCTATGACTGCGTAGTAAAATCGATTTCATAGCGTGACCGAATGTGTCGCAGTAGCCACTGTATCATGAAAAACAACATGCTACGATGGTTTAGAAATAAACCATCAACCTCATTTTATCGTCGCTACATTTACCGCCGTTTAGTGAGTTTGGGATTCCGAGAAACTTGTTTGACACCACACGAGTAATAGGCAGTATTCTATTAAAAGCAGCGAATCGGATCTCTTCAGAAGAGATCTCGTGTTCTCCAGAGCGCCATTTGATAGCTTCAGTTTTGGATTTCAATGTTTCTAAGGAAGCGTGAGAAAGTAACAATAAACAGATGTCTGGTTTTCATGTGCTGTCACGAGAGATAAACGGAAAGGTAAAATCTACTTTCTTCTGAGAACGGAAACTAGCTTAAAGGTTATAACCTATTTTAATTCGTTTGTGTGTCGCATTTGGTGTGGATCGTGGATTAGGGAGGGTAAGGTAGGCATTCACGGCCACGATTTTAGTTTTTAGTTATACTAATAAGAAAATCATGCCTCAAAACTGCTGGAATCTCTTCCATTTATGGAACTTCCAGGAATATCGTCTTCACTTAAAAACTAAGATCCCAGTCGATTGAAAAATTCAGAATTGAAGTTTTTGCTGCAATGTCGAGGTGATAACTGCAAAGGATCCTCCACAAAAGCGCAACTTTGCAAACGGTAAGAAATCTTTCGGATTTATGGTTTGAAAACAATGGTTGTCATGGCCTTGCAGCTCATGGGGTTTGTTCTCTCTCAGAGTGAAGGACTGCGTGGAAGCAGATATTTCCCATCTCATCCAACATCTCTCCGTATCGCGACTATCCATTTTGTGAACAGATCTCTGTCTTCTGGGAACTTGTGGAAAGGTATTTTCAATCCACTCTCTTCGTAAACCTTCTCTGTACACTCTGAACACAGCAGTTTCGAGGCTGATTTTCTGATTAGCATAAGTAAACACTAAAACTGAGGCCCTCGATACCTCGATACCTCGTTCTCGAGGATTGAGGATTGAGGACTGAGGATTATTGAGAGCTCTCAATATTCAAAGCTGCAGAAGGCCCTTTTGTTGAACGAATGTTTGTCAAATGTTGAAACCGTTTAAACGGGCCTTTAGAAAGCTTTCTGAAATTGGTCAAAAGTACTCTTTCTTTCTTAGGTGATATTTCTCAATTCCAGACTAGACCAATAAAAACTTTGGCTGATTTCCTCTGATAAGATGTCCGAAAGCATAGAAATATAAAAACATCCTGCACTTTCCTTCCTAATTTCCTTCGCCGTAGTGACTTCAAATTTTTGTTTTCCTAGCGTGACAGCAGATTATGCAAATTAGTCTGTTGAGCAAACTCCGACCTTGACTGACCCCAACTGTTCTCAGTTAGTAGCGTCAAAAATCTTAGATTTGAACCATTTGAAAAGAAAAGATAGTCGGACAGAACTTTTAGAATACACAGATTGATACTCTAAACAGTTTAAACTGCTAAAATCTAGCAAATGATTCTGTCTCGTGACGAAAAAGGTGAACAAAACGTAACGAATATCACATTGTTAGCGTTCGGTCAACGTGTGAATAATTAACTCTTTTTTAAAAATTGGTCTCTGCTCTTTTATATTTGAGTTAACAGAGTTCAAACTAGTTCAAACCTGTATGAACATTTTAAACCAAACTACAGGATTTTATTTAGCGTAACCGGCGATACAGCACTAGATTACGGGCAGTCCCCACTTTTCGGCAAAATCCGTCGCGCGAGTCGAAAAACATCAGTGAAGAAAAAATTAATGTTAGTGCTCACTCCGAGGGCTCAGAGCGGCGCGTGAACATCTTTATCTTTTTTTTTTTTTTTTTCCAGCTCTAACTATTTTTTTTTTCGACTTGCGCGACGAACTTCGCCCAAAAGGAAAAAAAACGCTCGGCTGCAATTCTCCTCAGCCACACTATTTTCACTTCATTCTTGTGACCATGCAACTGTCAAACATCTGCCTTCCGGTTCAACAAATGTGAACGGAGTGGGAGAATGGGGGGAAGGGATAATGGCTGAAAATAAGGGATTCAATTAAAAGGAGATGAAGGAGTCACCTTCTTAACTAAGCTTTTCTCTTTTCAAGAGTGACGGTGACAGCCTAACAGAGGGTGAAGCTGGTGTGGTCTCGCCTTCTGTTCATAGCTGTTTGAATAGAGTTCATGTTCTTTAAATACCCCGCAGCTCTTTCCTTTTCTAACGCTCTGAACGGTGCTTAAAGATAAAATACAAAGTCTGAAAATGGCATAGAATCTGAAAGCCCATTATTTCTATGGACACTTTGATTTTTCCTTGCAGCCTACAAGGTTTTTGTGCAACACAAACCACCCATGCGCAATTTCTTCCCCTTACCATCTCCTCCCATAGCAAACTTAGGAAGGCTACTTGAAAGGTAGGCGCTATACTTTTACCTCCTTAAACGGAAAGTAATAGAAGCAGCGCATTCTGGGAAATTAACTTTGGGAAAGGGAAAATCAATGAAAAATCTAACTAAGGGTGTGGTCGTTATTAATCGATGGTGGGGGGAGGTGGGGGGAATATAGTGATGGGAATCAGCTCTCGCCAACAGAGTATTAAGGGGGTACTTAACATTTCCAGATAAGCCCTTTCTATATAGAAGGCAGGTTTATTAAATTAAGCCGGTAACAGGCATGGAAGCATGACAATGGTGTAAATAAAAAATTTTTTTGCGGCCTTATTTGTATCACAGTTCAGTTACTCTAAATGTAAATGGTAGGTTCCCTGAGCACTAGGCCCAGTCTCTACCGAGGTTTTGCCATTCGACACTACGTTAAACCTCGGCGCACATGTGTTTTCATGGCATGTTATTTTCGCCTTTATTTTTCGGATGAGGATCGTTTAACTAGACTTACATCGAAGAAAAAGAACATTACGGAACCATTACGGATATTGTACCACTGTTCAAGGTTACGGAAAAGGACACTTGCTTGTTTGTAAGGATTTCTCATACAGTATTGTATTCGAACAGTGTGCTGAGCGTAGTTGATCGGATCGAATAAAACGTGGAATTGACACTGAATTGACGGCTGCTACAAAAAATCTTTTTGACAACCCTGAGGAGACATTACTTGGCCGTGGGTTAATACAAATTTATCCTCGAGTGTCGACAATACCTCTCTTTTGTGAGAGATATTATAAACTCGTATCCACCAGCGGACAAATAATGTTCTGTTTGGTCTAGATCTATAGTTACTGAATACGTATTTAAGCCAAAAACAATTTTAAAACACATAAGAACATTAAATACAGAGAACACCAGCACATAAAATCAGCTCACCAAAAAGCTACTTCAACCTCCGATTAAATGTAAAACAAATTCTCATTCCAAACATACAGCAAAGGTAGGTATAAATAGTTTATTTACCTACTTGTAGTTCTGATATTGCCTTAGTAACTTTATATGATATGTACACACAGATATAAAACACTGTATTCTCAAAAAGCGAATTTCAACTGAGTGTCCTACGACCAAATCCAAATTTATCACAATTGCCAATCGTCGAGCACTTTTCAATTAAGTATCGAAAAACCAAATCCAAAGTGATGACAACTGCCAATCAGAAAAAAGGTTACCATGATTATTAGCCAATGAGAACACAGAGTAGAAACAGGCAACCTCCTTAAAGCGCGGGAAAACGCGAGTGACCAAGTCGTAGTTGGTTTTAGTTTTACATTTGATTGGTTAAGATTGTGACGCGAGTTTCCTGGACCAATCACATAACGAAGTAAAGCAAAACCAAAGCAATCCAGCATCACTTTTGATACTCAGCTGGAAACTGCTCCAATAAAGGAAATATAACAAAATGCCAAAGATAACTCAAAGAAAAGCCTGAAGTGCTGGAAATATGCGAATGGCCCTACTACACACTCGATCTTGATGAGGCTCGTACCTGATTGGTCAAGAGGGCGGCATAGGCTCGCTAAACCAATAACAGACTACAGTCAAGCTAAACCAATGCCCATGACTATATCCATGACTATTTTCGACACTCAATTGAAAATTTCTTTCATAGTTTACAATATTACCTTACGAAGACTAGTTTTAAAAGAATTCTGAACATGTCTAATGATCAAGTCTCTTTATACTGACGCCGCATTGCGCTACTTGTTAGGTCTGATCTGTAGAGTTATTTTCTGTTGTTTATCCAGCCATTCTCGTAGTTTATTCTCAGTCATCGTCAGCCTTTGTTCCAAAATTGAAACCGTCTGCAACAAAAGGTCGCGTAACGAATATAAGAGTCTCTCCCTTACACTAAAAAAATGTCTTGCGTTTCAGCATAAGCTAATACATCTCCATGTTGCATGAAATCTTTGCCTCGTCTCTGTACAACAAAAACCTCATATTAGACTGTTCATGACCTTTTTCCCGACGAGGGCCACGGATTTGATCACCAGTCGCTGTTTCAGAAATGAACTCCATCTTGCGATCAGGTATTCCTTTTTCCAGGGGGAGGGGGGAGAGAGAAAGAGCAACTGTGGTGCTTCCATACCATCCCCCTCCCTCCCTCCGCCCCTCCCCAAACAAAGAAGAAGACCGCCTGATTCAGGCTAAATGAATCTATGCTTCTCAAAGGCTGGTAAAAGGAACTAGCAAAAATTGAGTACATGAAAGCTGTGTCCCCCGTTTCTAAGTCTTGTGTCTTGTTAAAGGAAGGGTGTTTTAAAATGGATATTGATTATTGTTGATACGAGTAAGCTTTTCATCGGGCCACACCTTTTGCCCCTTTCCCCCTAACATGGGTCCCTCTTCAACCCCTGGTATTCTCCCCTATGAATGGCAGCGTGGTGGGGTCATTAACAGGAGTGTATCCCCTGTCCCCACCCCCCAAGGCTCTTGGTTTCCAAAACAATTCCCTGTTCACAAATTTTTTCCGCAACTAACCTGTGTGAGCACATCCAGCTGGCCAACAATGTGCTCCAGAGTATGCTCAACTGTGGAGAAATATCTCTTCTTTCCAGGGGTGTGGTGAGGGGAGGCTGTGTAGCTGGAATGCCTCCCAAACCATCAGTCTCCCCATTCCTTCCTGCTACTTCATCTAATTTGCTCTGTCTCTGAAGAATGAGAATTTGCAAGACAACATCTTGGTTAACTTGGCTCTTAAACTAAACCAAGTAAGGTGGAAGGGTTTCTCATGAACTTTACATCTTAGCTATCAACTGATGCAATCTGGCAAAGTCAAAAAAATAATCCTAAATAGCCTACTTCAGCCAAAGATGAGATTTTAATACAACAAAAAAGATAACTTATCCATTACTCATGCAGCCATTCTTGTTGAAGAGTAACACACTTTTGCAAATCAAACAAGTAAAATTTATTCACAATGCATTCAGTAAGATATCATTTCAACAATGGTCAACACTATTTGAACCTAAAGGAGAACTGTACTCAGTTCATGAGTACAGTGAAAAGTATCCTATAATATCAGTAATTCATTCAATCAATTTATATTTCATACTATTTAAAGGAACTTGTTCATGAAAACTCCTGCATGCATGGAATACCTAAATAGCAATTGCAACTTGATGCAATCAAAACACTCCTCAGTCTATAGACAGTTTCTAAATACATCTCAAATGCAATTCCTGCAAAAGCAAATAAGGTAGGTAGATGCTATGCTTTTATCTCCTTAAACGGAAACTAATAAAAGCGGTGCATTCAGGGAAATTGAAGTTTGGGAAAGTAAAAATCACTGAAAAATCTTACTAAGGTGACAATCGTTATTTATCAATGGGGTTGGATATAGAGGGGGGGGGGGGAATCAGCTGTCTCCAACAGAGTTTCAAGCAGCTCACAAAAGGAGGCACACCAACAACTGACAGTCTTAAATGCAACCATTGCAGTAGACTGTGCTGCTCACATGCTGAACTTGCAGTGCATCAATGCCCCTAAAGCACTTAACTGTTTCTCAGTCAACATCACCTGCAATGGACTGCCAATGATGATTAAAGTGGACTATAGTAAATTGACTGCTAATGAGAAGAGGGATAAAAAAATATCGCTCTCATCTTGATCACTCTCATTTTCTTGCCCCTCAGCCAGTTTGTTTGTTTTCACTGTCAGTTCTTATCACCTGCTCGTGTTATTTTCTTTTCATCTGGTTGGTCTATGAGATTTTTTAGGTTTTGGTTTTACATCCCCCCCCCTCCCCAAATGGGATGTCAGTCCATTGCAGGTTACCCCCCAGCATTTCATCAGGTTTCCTTGACAGCAGTATCCATATATAATCCTGGGTGGAGAGAACCCTGTGAAAGTAAAGTGTCTCACCCAAGAACACAACACAGCAACATGTCCAAGTCTTGAACTCAGAGCTCTAGACATTTACCCCTCACTCCCTAACATTAGCATACATATTCTCCCTACTGTTCTCTAAACATTTCCTTAGGTGCTGACAAGGAGAATTTGATTAACAATCAAGAGGGTTTTTTAGTTTGTGATCATTTCCTACTTTCTCATGACCTTAATGTTTGATTCAGGGGTGATATTGAAAGGAGAAATTAGATGCTAGTCACTCTTAAGAGAACAGGTTAAGCTGCCATCTCATATTTAATCTTCTTATTTAATCTTATAATTTCCTATTTGATGAATTCACAGCTTGTCCAGACTTACCTTGGGAGCAGCCTCTTCGGGTGCAGTCCTTGGAGGGGGTCATGAGTATGGGGTGTGGGTACAGATGGGGATGCTGCTCTTTTTCTGTGGGAGTCAGTAGCACTGAAAGCATCACAAAAAGCTATTTAACACACTACCAGTCACATGTAGGAGGCTTAACCCTTTCACTCCCACAAGTGACCAAGACAGAATTTCTCCTTACAATATCAATACAATATCAAGCAGGGAAGTGATGAGAATAGAGAAGAATGTCAATCATGGGATTATTAGTTGATCCAATACCAAATTCTCTGAACTAACATCATAAGAATTGTATGGCGTATAGTAAGGAGAATTACTAATTAGATCTTGGGAGTGAAAGGGTTAAGCAGCTAAAAAATTAAAAACAAACAAACAAGAACAATCTTGAAGACAAAAATATCTGATATGTTTCAGAGAATTGACAAAAAAAATATTACATGCAATTTTCTATAAACAAAAGTGAAATGACATGAAAAAGCAATACTGGTAAATTTTTGCTTTTTTAATCTTTTGTACACAGCAGTTCACAAAGAATCTTACACATGCAAACATCACTTGTCAGAAAATATCACACAGGTGAATAGTGCTTTTCATGTGTACTGATTCATTTGTTCAGAAGAGATCAGCAAGTACTATTCACTGCCAAGCAGGTGAAGAGACAAAATTAATTTCAACCATTTTTCGTTATATTGACAGAAATGAACTAATTTTTTTTGGTTTCTGTATGGTATATATCAAAACAATTATTCACCAAAGTGTTGGTGAATATTGGTGGATATTAACTGAGCCACAAAATGGCAAGGTAAATATCCACCATTGTTCACCTCCACTGAGGTGAAATACAATTGTTAATTATTTGTTTTAATTATGTTAGAAAGACAAGAAAAATGTTATAGGAATGATATGTTCAGTTCATAAGAATTTGTTTATTAAAAGATCAAATACAAAACTTAACTGCAACAACAAAAGTGGAAGGTTTTTTTTCAAATCACTGCTCACCTGAATTTTCAGCTGCCTTTCTTCAAGTTCCTCTGGAGAAAGAACTTCTTCTGCTACTTTGTTTATTGTATTGTCTAGCACCTGGAAGGTCAAACAGAAAGCTTAGCACTTACTCATTATCATTACAATTAAATTCTTGTCTCTGATATGCAAAATACAGGACATGTCACAGAAATGAAAAAAAAAATTGTTTACATGTGAATAAGAATTGAGTCATTGAGTAAGTTTATAGAGCAGTTCACTGATAAGAGCACAAAAATATGCATGTTAAACTTGTAGAGAATGCATCTAGACCTGACACAGACTGGTCTTGACAGACAAGCAAATACATCTCAAGTACAGTGTTTAAAATCCACCCCTATTCTAGGATGTCACAATCTGTCAAAACATGACCCTTAAATAATGTGAGAAAGTCTTATAGAATACAATTCACCTTAACTTTCACTAACTGCGCAAGCAAAATTGAAGAAGTGGAGAGAAAAAAAAAGCCTTAAATGACTTGTGATGAACTAAAAGATTCTCCTTCCACATTGTTTTGTATTACCTCACAAAAAAGAAAGAAGAAGTTGGTGTTCCATAAAAAATAACCTTAAGGCTCTTTTCTAATCACCCCTCCAACTGATAACCCTTAGAACCCTAAGAGTAACAAGCATCTAATTTCTCCTTACAATATCACCTCTGAATCACACATTAAGGTCATGAAAATACAGGAAATAATCACTGACTAAAGAAGCCCTTCCGATTGTTCAACAATTTCTCCTTGTCAGCACTTTAGGAAATGTAGAGCAAACAGTATGGAGAATATGCATACTGATGTTAGGGTGTAAAGGATTCACTCACCTTCACTGGTACAGCAGACTTGAGTTGAGCCTTTGCTCTACAGTTTGGACAGTCTTTTGAATGACTAAGTAGAAACAAGAAAATAACTTTAATACTTTTTGCTTCATTAACATTCCATTTTATTCTTAGCACTCTTTCAATTATATCAATCAATACAATCACATTAGTGAATCAAACTGAAATAAAATTCTCAAATGTGATTGGTTAGAAGCTCAATTTAAGAACCAATAGGATAGAGTCCACAAATTATACCTTTGCAATTGAAGATTACACATCAATTGTATCAAGGTTCTTTTCTTTGCAAAAACAAGTGAACTAATAAGTTTTTATGAAATAATGACTCTGTTTGACCTATGAATATTTTGTTATTTCTGAATCAAAACATTCTACTTTTGTGTGTGGTTGAATAATGTGCTGTTAAATCATTTCAAATGACCCAACAGATTTACCTTAAACCTTTACACCCTTACATCACTGTGCATATTCTCCATACTGTTCTCTATACATTCCCAAAGGTGCTGACAAGGAGAATTTGTTTCACAATCAAATACTTCTTACGTTGCTGGTTGTTTCCTTATTCTCACAACTTTAATGTGTGATTTAAGGGTGATATTGTAAGGAGAAATTAGATGCTAATCACCCTTAGGGGTTACAAGGTTAAAGGTAAAGATGACTTTAGAACTAAAAAAATGCTCTGTGATATGTCTTACCAAAGCCAGTCCCTGATACAACCAAAACAGAAAGTGTGTGAGCAAGGCAAAGTGTGTGCCAATACCATCAGTTCACGACAGATACAACAAAGTAGCTCCTCATTTAAATCTTTCAAGCACTTCTTTGATCTGCTTCCATCTACTAAATGAAATAAAAATTTAACATGAGCCCTGGCTATGTAACCATTAATGCAATTGATAATAATTTTCTCCCAGACTTTTGTTGGAGGAATACTTGCAATTTTGATGGAGAATATACAAAGTCATGTAGCATTAAATCGAAAGTGAGAGGAGTATAACTGGGTACCGGATAATTTTCAGGGAAGCCTGATGAAATGCTGGGGGGGTAACCTTGTGATGAGCTGATATCCCATCTAAGGGGGGGAGTGGTGAAACTCCTAGTTGCTTCATGCTAAGGAAGCCAGAATAATCTCCCACTAGTTGGGTCACTTTGCTTACAAACAGACTTTATTTACTCTTTTTTATCAAAAGTGGCATTAAGGGCTTTTTTCTTCACATCCCTTCAACAATAGACAGATGCCTTCAGTGGAGAGTTGCATCCTACATTTGTAACATTACATAAGATAAAGTTCAGTTTAATTCACTTCTTGGAGTTAAATGTACCTTCACTGATGTTTACTTCTTCTTGTGGATCAGCTTTTTGACCAACTTCAAAAACCTGGGATTGGAAAAGAATATTAATGGTTTTGATACATGCCACAGAACACAATGTACTACACTGAATGATACCCTTTTAACTCTTGGATTTCCAGAAGTGATTATTATAGTCTGTAAATTTATAATGTCCATATGCTATCTAGTAAATATTCGAATACACGGTACTAAAACTTATCCATAGAAGTTGCTTTCTTGATCTGATTATTTAAACAAAGTTTAGCCATTATTTCACAAGACCTCATCCTAAATAATCTTCAATTTAGCCAGAACGAGACTGTTCATGACCTTTTTCCCCAAAGACGGTTATGGACTTAACAGCCAATTGCTGTTGGAGAAATGAGCTTAATATTGCTATCAGGTAGTCCTTTTTCAAGGAAAGGGTAGAGTAAATCTTGCAATCAGGAAGTCCTTTTTCAAGGGGGAGGGTAGAGAGAGAACGATTGTAGTGCTTTCCCACCACCCACCCCCCCCTTAAAAAATTCCTGATTCAGGATAAAAGAGACCATGCTTCTCAAAGGCTGGTAAAAGGAACTAACAAAAATTGAATACAGTATGGAAGCCACGCCCCCCGTTTCAAAGTCTCTTGTCTTGTTTAAGGATGTTTTAAAATGGATATTGATTAGTAATTGATATGTGTCAGCTTTTCATCGGGCCACACCCTTTTGCCCGTTTTCCCCTGACATGGTCCCCCTTCAACCTCTGGTATTCTCCCCAATGCATGGCAGCGTGATGGGGTTATTAACAGAAGTGCATCCCCACCCCACACCCAAGGCTCTTGGTTTCTACAAATAATTCCCTGTTCCGATATGTTTTCACGACCAACCTGTGTTAGCACATCCAGCTGTCCCATAATGTGCTCCAGTGTCATGCTCAGTTGTGGAGGAATATCTCGTCTTTCCAGGGGTGTGGTGAGGGGAGGCTGTGTAGCTGGAATGCCTCCCAAACCATCAGCCTCCCCAGTCCTCCCTGTTACTTCATCTAATTTGCTCTGTCTCTGAACAATGAAAATTTGCAACAAAACATCTTGGTTAACTTTGCTCTTAAACCGAACCAAGTCAGGCGGAAGGGGTAGTCTTGAACATCACATCTTAGCTTTCAACTAATGCAATCTGGCAAAGTCAAAATAAAATCCTAAATAGGCTACTTCATCCAAGAAGAGATTTTAGTGCAAAAAAACAAGAAAATTTATCTATTGCTCAGGCAGCCATTCTTGTTGCACAGTAACACACTTTTGCCAATCAAACGAGTAAATTTATTCACAATGGATTCAGTAAGATATTTGTTTCAACAATGGCCAACACTATACAAACCTAATGAATAAGCACTGAAGAACAGTTCATGAATACAGTGGAAAATAGCCTACAATATCAGTAATTTATTCAATTAATTTATAATGTATGAACAGCGTAGGTGTCATGCTTGTAATTGGACAATTGAATAGAACAGTTGACATATCATGCCTGTGTAAGTGGACAGCGCACATCATATGCACTCGCTGTCGTCGCGCATTTCGGCGAGTTAACTGTTTTTTTTTTTTTTATGTTTTACGTATCACGTGCGGGGCAAAATTACTGAATGCTGATTGGCTGAGGAAAAGGGAATCTTTTCTTAGTCACTTGCTGCTGATTGAACCTCTTTGCTGTTAGCGGCAACTAGGTATTGATTGGCTTAACTGAGTGAAGCCGTTGTTAACTATATTTTGAGAATAAAATGTTCATCGAGTCTATTGATCAGTGTTTTGACATTTGTAGCGGTATTGAAAGGGCTTCATTCCACGGAAATCGTGCGTGAATGCAATTCCCTCAAAAATTTAGCACTTAATGTGATAAAAAAGTAATCATAAGTGCCCTCGAGCCTATGTGATTACAGATACTAAACGTATAACTGATGTCTGCTTGCTTTCTAACTCGTGATTGACAAATCGGATTCCCGCTTTGCAGTTGTCCGATTTTGTCACTCACCAGAATGATTAGAGACCGAATTGTGTCGAAAACGTGAAAAAGCTGTACCATGCTTCCTTATTAACTCACGAGTTATTCACTTGATTTGAAGATTTTACGACAACGCTTCGGTTAACTCCCACTCACAACTCTCGACTTATTCGAAGGAAACACACACTCAACGTCCCGTTGTAAACACGTAGAACAGTGCCATATATGGGGCGATAAAACTCGTGCCACATACATATTGTTTGGTTATGTGTAGATAAACGAAATCACTCATCAATGTCAATCAAATAGGAATAATTAACGTATCGTACAGTTTCCAACAATTGGACTCCACTCAGTCCTTCCGCTATAATCAACTCACAACACAAAAAATTACATTAATGAAGTGACGCATCGACAATTCTTTGAACTCTCTAAGAAAAATTAGAAGGTAATTTGCTAATTCTAGCCATTTTCTTTCGAATTCTCTTGCGACACATGAAAGGTCACAATTTTCCGTAAATTAATAATTGAAAGTAATAAAAACCTAAAGATATTCGCAAAAGGTTTGCTTACGAAGAATTGATTGTTCCTTTCAAAAATTGGGTACTCATTTCAGAACGTAAACTTCTTTCTCTTTGAAGTCTGTGACTAAAATCCGACCATCTAGCATTGGGGTAACACTCCAGGGCCATCCAAATTGAATATTAGTACTTGTCTTTCCAATGAAAGTTCCTTCCAATGTAAACTGTTCAACGCGATTATTTCCCTTCTCACATAAGAAAATGTTGTTATCTTTGTCAACACATAAGCCATAAGGGGAATAAATCTGTCCATCACCGTTTCCTTTTTCTCCAAACTTGTACAAAAACTGCCCTTTCCCATCAAACACTTTCACACAGTTATTTCTGAGATCACTTACAAAGAACTTTTCCTTGCAATAAACGCAGCTGACTGGACGATCCAGTTTTTCTGGGCCGCTGTCTCCAAACTTAAACACAGGTTCACTATCCATCGTAAACACCTGAATTCTGCTGTTAACATACTCTGTTACAACGATAAAACATCCATCACTTGTAGTACAAACACTTACGGGATTCGTAAACTCTCCATCTCCACTTCCCTTTTTTCCAAAGCTTTTTACAAAGTTCCCTGTCTGTACATTCAACTGCTGTATTCGGTGATTCAATTGATCCGCCACCAGAATCTCGTCATCGTTTATGAACGTGAGATCGTCTGGTTTGTTTAATTGTCCATCCTTGTCTCCATAGGAACCAAGTTTTCGCACAAACTTTCCTGTCTCATCAAATACCAGGACACTGTGACCTCTATGATCAGCCACAGCAATAACACCTTTGCTATTCACTGCAATGCCGGCTGGAGCTTGGAGCGTTTCTCCCTGAAAGTCTAACTTGCCTACAACATTTAACTCTCGTGCTTTAACCAGAATAGAAAATGGACTCTTGGCAAGTTTCTGTCCATTTATCTTTACTTCTATTTTATAAGTACCTGGTACTTTCACTACAAATTTTCCTTGGAAATTTCCATCCTCTTTTTCACTCGTCGCCAAACTCCTCACCTGATCCGCAGGGTCCATGTGTATTTCAACACGATCTGTGTGCTGAGTGTTTCTGATTTCTCCTTCGCTTGTTTTGGGACAAATTAGTAGCTCTGCCTCTATACCAGTTTGAAAATTTTGATCCAGTCCTTTCATGACCGATCCTTGCACATCAGTTTCGCTGAATTTCGTAAATCCCAGACTCAAACTCTCTGGTTCACATGTCGTCACAAATTCTACATACGAGCTAACCGGAAGTGCTGGCATTGTGGTCTTGATGAGGTCTTCGATTCGTTCTTCTACATTTTTCTTGTTTTGCATTATGTCTGAACTTGAGCTTCTCTCAACCAGGTTGTTACTGAACTCAAATGCTTGGTCAAGTTGCTTTTCAAAAGACACAACCGATGCTTTTCCAGAATGTAATTTCTCAATCCTTGACACGCGAGTCTTCTCGAGGACAGTAATGGCTTCACGCTCCAGTTGGCGAAGCTTTCCCATCATCTGTTCGGTTGCTTGAGAGACTTGGCGTTTAGCTGTGGTAATATTTGTTTCCAACTCATGTTCCGTGTTCTCAAATTCACGAATAACATCTCGGCAGACCTCTTTCTTCTCTTTTACGAGCTCAGCTCGGGCAATGATGTTTGCTTTTTCATCGTCCGCTGCCTTTTCAAGCGGAACAACATCGTGGCTTTTGTGATCAGTGGCGATGCAAACTTGACATACACACCTTTGACAGTCAACGCAAAAAAAACGAATCACATCTTTTTTGTGGTAATTCTCTGAGCAAAATGACTGCCTTTTCAACAAGGCCTCGTATTCTGAGGCTTGAAACTGTTGCACTGGTGTGACTTTGTGTCCCTCAAACATAGTTTCTCGAAACACTTCGTGTGCTTTCACACAGTCTGGGCACATAAACTTCTCGCAATCAAAGCAGTAGTTGATCTCAGCGCTCTTCTTCTGGCATGTACTACAGCTGATCTCATTTCCTTCGCCGCTGCGTCGAACTGCAAGAAGACTCAACAAACTGTTGTGCAGAAAACTGCTCGGCATATTATCAAAACGCTTTCCTTCAGGGATGCCAATTTGTGCTTGACACTCGGGGCATGGATAAAACCCTTGTTTTTGTCTCGCTAGTGCATGTCTCTCTAGGCATTCACAGCAGAACGTATGAAGACAAGCAATGGTCTTGGGTTTGGTGTAAGTATCCAAACAAATCGAACATGTTACGTGCTCTTTGAGGTTTTTTAGAAGCGACTCCATCACGAATTGCTGAGAAAAACACAGCCCTGTTTCGTTTGAGATTCCGAGAAACTGAACTTGTATTAGCATTCTATTTAAAGCAGCAAATCAGATCTCTGTAGGATCGCGTGATCTTCGCGCAGAGATTGACAGTTTTACATTGGAATTTTATCCACCTATCGTCTGCTTTCTCTGTCACTGCGTAGTAAAATCGATTTCATAGCGTGACGGAATGTGTCGCTCTACCCGCTGTATCATGAAAAACAACATGCTACGAAGGTTTGGAAATAAACCATTTACCTCATTTTATCGTCGCTACATTTACCACCGTTTAGTGAGTTCGGGATTCCGAGAAACGTCTTTGACACCACACGAGAAATAATCAGGATTCTATGAAAAGAAGCGAATCGGATCTCTTCAGAAGAGATCTTGTGTTCTCTAGAGCAGCATTTAATAGCTTCAGCTCTGGATTTCAATGTTTCTAAGGAAGCGTGAGAGAAACAATTAACGGATGTTTGGTTTTCATGTGCTGTGACGAGAGACTAACGAAAAGGTAAAATCTGCTTTCCTATATTAAGGGAAACTAGCTCTCTAAAGGTTGTAACCTATTTTGATTCGTTTGCATTTGGTGCGGCTCGTGGACCAAGATCAATGTTGAAGGAATTGCGCCCTTACCCCTCCCCTAACCCAAAAACACTCAACTAATAACAAGTTGGGGTTAATGTTGGGTTAGGGGAGGGGTAGGTGCACAGTTGGTCACATAGACAACCAATTGTTGCAGTTATTGTGTCAAGTAAGTTTAGGTGAAAGTTAAAGGGGAAAAAAAAACGCTCGGTTGCGATTCTCCTCTGGCACACTATTTTCAATAAGTGGCAGTCTCTGTAACAGCGGTCCAGGGCATTTTGCATCGGAAAAGAGTTTTGCCTCAAACTTTTATTATCTTTTTCTATTATCTATCATTTATTATCTTTTTAAGTAAGTAAATAAAACCACATTGGTTTCTGGAAATACCTTAAAAAACAATTGAGACATCTCAATAATCAAAGCTGTAGAATTCCTCTTTTGACCTCTTGCGACATCGAAAATTTGAATAGGTGACAAGCTTGCTCCTCGTAACACACTGCATGCTGCAAGAAATCGTTTGTATTCCTTAATTGTGTGATATCTATAGGGTTGGGAAAGGATTTCAATTTTGATAGGTGTTTATTCAGAGGTTCGCCATAATTTATTTAAAGCACCTGTTAGAAAGCTTTCTGAAATTGGTTAAAGGTACTCTTTCTTACTTGGGTGATATTTCTCAAGTGCAGATCAGACCATTAAAAACTCCGGCTGATTCCATTAGTAAGATGTTCGAAAGCTTAGAAATACAAAAACATCTTGCATGTTCCTTCCTAATTTCCTCCGCCGTAGGGACTTCAAACTTTTGGTGATTTTGCTAGCGTGACAGTAAATTGTGCACATTATCTGTCGAGTAAACGCCGACCGTTATATACTGGTTGCTTTATAAATCTTAGATTTGAACCATTTTAAAAAGAAAAGATAGCAGGACAGAGCTTTTAGAATACATCGATTGATACTCTAAACATTTTAAATGGCTAAAATCTGGAAAATGATTTTGTCTCGTGACGAAAAAGGTAAACAAAACGTAACGAATATCACGTTGATTTGTGTTCGGTCACTGTGTTAACGATTAACTTTTTTTTTAAACATTGGTTTATGTTCTTTTATATTTGAGTTCAGAGAACTTAAACTAGTTCAAACCTTTATGAAAATTTCACACCAAACTACAGCATTTTATTTAGTGTAACCGGCGATAACAGCACTAGACTACGGGCAGTCCCTCATTTTCGGCAAAGTCCGTCCAGCGAGTCGAAAAATATCAGTGAAGAAAAAAATTAATGGGAATAATGGGTCAAAAAAGAGGGACAAGAGATGGAGGAGTCGCCCACTTAACTAAGCTCCGATAACAAACTTAGGAAGGCTGAAAGGTAAACGCTACACTTTTACCTCCTTAAACGGAAAGTAACAGAAGCAGCGCATTCAAAGAGGTTAAGTTTGGGAAAGGGGAAATCAATCTGACTAAGGGAGCAGTTGTTATTAATCGATGGGGGGGGGGGGGATAAAAACATTACTGACGCAACTTCCACCACTTCTGGGTGAACTAAAAATTTGAAAAATATTACAAGATTGACAGGTCTATCAGCATTCAGTAGGAAGTTTAATAAAGTCTTTGACACTTGGTCTCGATTGTTGCAGTCTGGTACTTGATTGTAGGAGCAAGTACTCCAAAATGGGTTTGCTAGTCTAATTGATAAGTTTAAGAAGTGTAATGATTGGGGGCCTTTTCCTTGAGAGGCCTAGTAACTTAAGAGGCCTGTAAAGCAGTTCTGTTTAAAATCAAGATGGGCTATAAAGAAGTTTGAAAATTATACAGTTTAACCGGCTATCAGCAAAATATTAAAAATGGACTGGTCAGGGTATCCAAACCCGCTTCTCTATCCTTTAAATACGGGTTTATGCTGAGGCATAGTTTTTTCCAATTGATAAAAGGATTTTTAATAAGAGTAACATGGAAACTGTACTAAGGTTTTAAGGGCTTGGTAATATTAACCAAGTCATTTAATAACTTGAACATGTGAAAGGATGTGAATAGTTCTTGTTATTAATGTAACATTATAAAGAATAACAACAAAGAATATGAATCGTGTTGTATTGTATAACTGTTGCTTTGAAAGAGCATAAAAAAACAACACTGAATTTTTCATTTACAATATGTTGATTGAAGCATATAGAAGGGGTTTTGGTTAGTACAATGTTTGTGAACAGAAACATACATGCACTAGTCTTTGCGAACTTAGTAATCTTAAAAAAAGCATATGAACTTGAACGTGAAAACCAATGTCAATGGTTTTCTGCTATAAATACAACATCTTGAACATCAATAACATGTTAAGAAATAAGATTAACTTGTTTCGTATGTATGCTTTCAAATAACAGGTAACGTAACATTGAATCAGAACATGGTAATGAAAGTTTGTTGAAGTCTTGATACTTAAGTGTTGTAAATAAATATTTTAGTCGGTGGTCTGGCTTTGTTAATTCTGTACTGTAGGACAGTTTAACTTGACAGTGAAGATGATGATATTTCAGTGATCACTTTTCTGTTCACATTATATTTGAATTCTATGTCTTGAAGATCCATAAGTAGTTCTTCAATTGTGTCCGAGTCACTAAGTAATGAGATTGTCGGGTGGGTGGCGAAGAGGGACTCCAAGACATCTGTAAATGCTGTTAACCAAATGTCTTTTTCATCCAAATGTACAAGAAGTTGAACAGATGATGTCCACGGTGATTATCTAAGAAAGAGGAAATAAAAACTGAAGTTAGACATGAAATGTTGATCACAATAAGTTACTGCATCTTTTAATAACATGTGGATTGTAAAATTCATAACTAACAAATGTTTTTTTGGTACTGTCAATCAAATGTTCTGCAGCTCTTTGCAGCTCGTGACTACTGTCAATTGTGCAGTAATCAAATCAAATCAAATCATTCAGCACAGTTCAGACAGCAGAAGTTGGGAGGAGCCACCAAAGATTTCAGTGATGGTAGTGAAATTGCGTTTGTCAGTAAGGTTTGAATTTTAGAAATGGCAATATATTTTTTGTGTAGATGCAATCTAGTATGGTGAGGCCAGACGAGTTCTTGCTCATTCAATTTCCCTCCCCACCTACTTTCCAAGTGAAGAAAACAGGAATATGGAGAACCACAAAAAACCAAACATTGTAAATTAAAGCTACAGGTACTTACCAGAGTTTGTATTTTCTTTTGACATGATTGTCTGACAGAAGATCTGGAAACTGAAGAAAAAGAAAATTTTCAAACAGTGCAGAAACATTTTTTTTTTTTGAAATATCAAGGATTTGTAAGCAGAAAGCACTGACAATGCATTTCCTTTTTCTAGAGTAGAATATGAAATGTTTGATGAAAATATTTGGAACCAGTCACCACAGGGAGACAAGATCAAAATTGTACAAAGTTGATTTTGAATTGTAATTGACTTTTTATCTTTTAATCTTAAGTGTAAAAGAAATATTTATGCGTGCATTGATCGCTTTGATTTGTTTAAAAGAGTATGACATATACGAAAATTTTTTTAAAGATATTTTGAGATGTGAATTCAGTGTTTCATTAGCCAACATATCAAGACGGATTTCTTCTTCTAATCTAAACTTAAAGTTAGTAGACGTTTTGACTGCTTGTAACCTCTCTAGTGTCATTGGCTCAATAAGAAGATCTTGTATTTTTTTTACCCTGCTTAAAGCAACATATGTAATTCCAGGAGATCTTTCTGATGATCCTAAATCAATCCAAGCTTTAGAGAGGGTCAGACCTTGACATTTATGAATTGTCATCGCCCAGGCTAATTTTAATGGCAATTGCTGTCTCTCATATTTTTTTCCTAAACTTTCTGAAAATTGGGTCATGGGACAAATTGGGACACATCTTTGAAACAGAGAAGAAACTGATGGTCCTTTATATTCATCATCAAATTGAACCAATACACATATTGGAAGACATGGAGGTTGCTGTCCTTCAGCATACACAAAGTCAAGTACTGTGCCTAATGCTCCATTACAAAGGCCAACATCAGTCCATAGATTCATCGTTAACATTACTTTTGCTCCTTTTGATAAGTAAACTATAGGTTCAAGGCCTCCCATGTCATCAGCACTAAGTGTTTGTGCTCCAATAGAGTGACGAGCTTTAATTATTGCTATTGGTTGACCCAAGCTTTTCAGTCTACTAATGTTTAATTCTGCGACTTTTTCCTTATGATAACAAATTCTGACAGAATGATTTTCAAACTCATTCACATTGTGCACTTTGTCCGGTGTTCTGGAAATTAAAGAGTGCCAATCTGATTCAGTTGATTCACCATGGCGAGCTCGGGTTAGCATTTCTCTAAAATTGGATTGTTCAATATTGTTTCCTTGAACTCTTTGATTAACTGTCAATTTAACAACTTTCTTGAATTCATGATATAGGAGAAAACCTTGAATTTGCTTTTCTGTTTTTGGCATAGAATGGTAAAGTGGTTTGTCACCTACTGGTGGTAACTGAGCTATGTCACCGACAAGAATGACAGATATGCTGCCAAATGTCATGTCTGTTCGTCCAATAGCTTGTCTGCAACGACTATCAATCCATCAGAACAAACTCTGGCCAACGAAAGAGTATTCATCTATTATTAAATATTGAACGTTTTCGAGGTTACTTTGCAGTTGTTGCAAAGGTATTCCTTTTAAATCACAATGTCTCTTTGAACCAATAGGTAATTTTAGCAGTGAATGTAGCGTTACTCCATTGACGTTGAATGATGCTTTTCCAGTGTAAGCTAAAACCTTACATTTTTCTTGAAGCAAATTTCTTAAGGAATCAATGAGATAGCTTTTCCCTGTTCCTGCTACACCCATAATAAGAAAGCGCAAGGGATTTTGTTCACCACTGGCAAAATGATTGGAAACTATTTGATAAGCTACTTGCTGCATTCTACTAAAAGTTGAAGTATCTATGATTCTTGTTTCACAGGAATGGTGAGCACTATTCTTGTTTTTCTCTCTGTTTATCCATGTAGGCATTGCATTTATCTCATCATTTGTGAAATACTGATACACTTGATGCCAATATGCATGTGGTACAGGTGTAGATTTCTCACAAGTATCAGTTGTTTGAATAGTCAACTCTGCCATAAGCATCCACTCTTCTCTTTCACTTTTGGTGTTTTAATCTTCTTCAAAAGAATCCTCATTCAAAGGTGTTATGCATATGTAGTTGTTTACATCTTGCATTTTGGTTTCCCAATCAGGGACTAAGGATTTTGCAGTATCAGTTAGCAAGAATGTTTTCCAACATGTTATGTATGTCTCATCAGCCTGTGGAAGGTTATCCCATGCATCATCCGGTGTATATTGCCAGGGTTTGTATTTAAGCAACTGATATTTACAAAACAAACCATAGTCTTCACTCTTTGGATTGGATGAATAATTAGGATAGGTTTTCACAATTACACTTTTGTCTCTTTGTTTAAGTTTAGAGGCTTTGAAAGTAAACATTGATGCAAACTTGAAAAAATTGTACTCTAATAACTGCGGGTCTACCTTGAGATACTTGTAACGTTCAGCATAGGTATCAAGCAATGAAGGATTATTTGCTTTAAGGTGTACTCTTCTCGATCCATCAAGAGATGCAGTGATAACCTCATGTGTTGCACTTACAAACTTTATTGACAGTAAATGATGCATTACCTCTTGAATAGAATAGTCTCTTTGACCAACAGTTTCAGCAAAATTTGCTTAAGGACACTTGGAGTATCAGTTGTATCATTCATTTTGGTGATAATATTGGTGAAAGCATTTTTGACAACAGAAGATGCTTTCTCAGCTTTAGATGTGTATTTAACAAGATATCCAGACAGGTATGATAATCTATAACAATTTGAATGTCGCAATTTGCTCTCCACCCTTGAAGTTGTAATGGTTGATGACGATTCAATCTAGAGTCATTTCGTTTTGTGACAATAACAGCTTTATATTTTGTTTCACCAGTTTTTGTATTTATTGGTTCAAAATCAAGTCTAGTGTCAGGACAGTCGTCATAAGGAAAGTTAAATCTACAATGCAATTTGGATTTGTCATTTTGTCGAAGACAATATTTAGTACTACATGTAGTGTGTCTTCAACTGAATTTAACAAATGTACGTAATCATTTGCCATTTCATTGGTTTTTAATGAAAGATATGATTTTTGACATGGGTGACTTTCTGGTTTTGACCATCCATCATCAGAGAGGAAGGATTCCAGGTTGACATCAAAAAGTCAACATATCTACAAAGGATTGTCTCAGCCTCTTTGCCTTCTTGTATTTTGTTGTCAATATTCACAATTTGCTCTTTAGTTAGTTCATGTTGGTTTTCACTTTTAAATTTTGAAGCTAAGTATCCCTTGATGGCCTT